CCGCGTTCCCCCCGGAAAAAGTTACCGCGCTGCCTCGTGAGCCCTGCGGGCTCTCCCGCGGGCTCGGTGGGAGCAGCTCTGCTCGCACCTCCCATTCCCGAGAAGTATTTGAGACTTTCCGTGTAAAAACGAGTCAGCCCGGGACAATTTTAGAGCAGTTCAGTGGGTGTTTGTAGAAGCTGCAAGTTGTTAAGCAGCTTTAGGTGAACGGTCGTTACTAAAATCGTTGTAGGCGACGGGGCGGGGAGGGTGCTCTTTTAAGAGCTCGGCTTAAAGATGTTTTTAGATGAATGCAGCCAGGTAAGTCACCCTGGCCAGCCCCGCCCCTAGGCCCGGGTGACACCGGCTTCGTAATGCCAGGAGTATTCGGAAGCGCTGGAGGAGAGTGCGGAAGTTGCAAAAGGCGATGGGAAAACAGCGGAGGTGACGGTCGCCAGGCCCTCGGAGACGCATCTGCTCCAGGGCTGACGTTGCCCCTGTGAAACGGTGGCTGGTTAGGAGAAAAGCTTGTGGAAATGCTACTTAGCGAGTGAATTTGGCCAGTATCACAGTGAAAGGTGCTCTGTGCTCATGTGCTCATCTGACTGGAGACCGGGATTTCCAGCTTCCAGTGGCCAAATCAGGACAGAAACAGGTGTAGGGGAGAAAGAGGAAGTAAAATTCCCAGTTTTATGAAAAGCTGTCTTTGCTCCCTTGCTCTTTCGGCTCTTTCTTGAGACATGCCTCAAGAAGTTTTTTTTTTTCCTGTTTGGAATAGAGAAACTTCAAGTTATTTATTCATTTATTTATTTATTATTGCAATTATTATTACAGGAGTTTCCATCAAAGCCCAGTCTCTGCCTTTTTACTTCCTCTGGCTCGTAGTGTTGATTCTATATGACATGGAAGTTTCCATTGCAGATCCCACAGTAGGACTTGAAGTGAAAAATATGCATGGAACAGATGGCATTTGGGGAAAAAAAAAGTTCTTTTTTTTTGTCTTTTTTTTTTTTTCCTGTGGATGTCTTAATAATGAGAGAGATGAGGGGAATGCAGATGTGCTATATAATAGACCAGCACAAGCTTTCTGGTTTCTGATGAAAAAGACTTTACTTTGAGAACATTGTTGCAGGATGTTGTCACCTTGTCTCATAGATTTGGCTGCTTAGAAGGTGCTATTAGTGCAACTCTTGAAACTCCTCTTTTACACTAGGTAATGAAGACACTACAGAAAAGTAGTCTTTTATAGAAAAAAAAAACCTATTTTATAGTAATCACTATCACTTTCATTACATGTTAAAATATTTGAAGATCTGATGAACACTAGTTTTCTTAGTATTGGAAAATACCATTTTTTGATCTGCAGATTTCAGGAATGTTGAGTGGCAATTCTTCAGTAAGTAAAGAAAGTGGAGTTTTGTTTGTCTAAAGGGTTAGAAAATGCTTTTTTCAATTTAGCTTCAGTGTTACAAGGTGTTTGGAGTTGTATAATTGTTGGATTGGCTCAGTCTGTGAGGTGTATGTACTTCAGAGTTGCTTCACTCATTTGTTGGAATGAGCAGATTGGAAAAGGTGTAGTAATATGAAGTAGAGCTAAAACATGAGCACACCTGTTCAGTAAATTTCTGGCTGTTCTTGCATGGGCATAGCTTTTTTTCCTTGGTTTTGAAAACAAAACTCACTGAAACGTGAGGTAGTTGTTCCTTTAACTTATATGGGGTAAGTTCAGACTTACGTTGCTTCACCAGTTGCAAAATTCAGTATCTCCCACCAAGTTTTAGTTTCTTAAATTTTTTGCTAACTTGTTTTGCTGCCTTGTCCTGGAGGCAGGAGCCATTTAGATTTCGTTTAGCTAACAAGAATGTCAGTAGTTCTAGTGTCACTCTTGCAGGGACCAGGATACCAGCTAAAGAGTGTGTGTCTTCTGTTTTGGTTAGAGTAATAAAGTGCGTGTTCTCTTTACTTGTCAGGTTTGATGAAAGGCTGCGAGGCTGGTAGAAACAGGGCTCTCCCTAGACTCCTTCCTGAATGCCGGGGTGTTGTTTAACTTGTGCTCCATAAGTTAATGTTCCTGCGAAAATGCACCAGTTACTGTATGGTCAAAAGATAAATGTGTATTTTGGGGAGTATATGTGAAGATTGATAGCGCCTAAGTCCCAATTGGCCCATATGTATGTGTGCAGATACTGCTCATGCCTGAAAATTAAGGCTGGGTTGAGACATTAGCATGGCAATAAATGAGAGAGCATATTAATCATATAGATTAGTGGTCAGACTTTATCACTCTAAATTGGATTTTTTTGATTAAATCAAATATTTTTCCCTTTTTTACTTCCTGACTTATTTGATTTCTAAAATCACTAACACAGAGGAGAATTAACACTTTAGGCTTTTTAGAGTTGGCTGTAATTAAATAGCAAAAAGACTTTGCAGAGCCTTGGTGCATGCGGTTTTACAAAATGACTTATCTGAAATAGTGATATTCCCATCATTTTTTTTTTTTTTAAATACCTTTGAACCAATGAGTCCAAATGTAACTAAAGTTTTCTATAGTAACTTATGTTCAGAAAAGAAAAACTGGGGTGCCAATCACCTTTGGAAATGGAGAACACCAGAAGCTACCAAAGTTCTAGGGCTTGGGGTCATTGCAGCAAAAATGCCAGTGTGGTGATGTTTTGTTTGTTTGTGATTTTTTTTTTTTTTTTCCCCCTGGCATCTTGTTATGTCTTCTGGTTTGGTGTTTTTGTAGTGTTTCCTTCCATTGTAGAAGGAGTATTAAGATTATAGTGCAGCGATCATGGCTTTTAATAGGCAAAGCTGTGAGTTTATATTGTTGTCCAAATGCACATTCTTGTTTTCGAGAATCCCCTGTTTTTCCAGAAGAAGAAATAAACACATTAAAGGAATTTTAGAGTAACCTTGCCTTCAGTTTCTCTTCGAAGTCCTCATATATAGTAAGTATTTGGGAAGGATAATAGTGTGGCTGAGAATAACTGCCAGTGGGATCAAGAGTTTTCATGTGACAGAGGCTGTTTTCCTGCATATTTGTGTGACCCTTATAGCATAGTTGCAACATACAGAGCGTGTGGCAGTGACCATCACTCTTTGGACCCTTGTAATCCCCAACTTGTTCGGAACAGTTATCTTGTAAATAAAGGGCCAGGGCTGCCCTAGAGCTATGGGCACAAAGATTCTGAGTACACAGGAAGTTACTGATGAATTTTTATGGTGAGTGTTATAACAGGTCCGCAGCCTTTCAGCAGAAAGGAATGACAGTCACCTGTCATTGAAGGATTAATCAGTGTTAGCAGGAGGTGCTTTGAAAAGACCATTGATTATAATCTTTAAAAACTTGATGGTGGAGCCCCACCAACAATATTTGTCTTAAATACACAGATGATATGATCTTGATACACTGTGTTGATTTCAGACCATTTCTTTAGTTTATTTTAGCATAGACAAATTTGAGTTATGAGGTTAAGGAATATTACATTACACAGCAAAGTAACAGCTGGCTCGGCAGCAGCTCCGTGGGAGAGAATCCAGGGGTTGTGGTGGCTCCTGAGTTGTCATGAGTCAGCAGCAGTGCCGTTGTGAAAAAAAGGTCTTGTCATACCAGAAAACATATGCAAAAGAAGGCATCCTAAAGGAGCTAAGGAGGGAATCTTTCCATTCTCCTGAGGGTTGGTAGGTCTGTGGCTAAAAGTGTTTTACTGAGTTTTCGAAACTGTTACACTTTGAGAAAGATATGGCTGAATTGCCAAGGATGGCAAGGTCTCCAAAAAGATAGACCCTTGAGTGATGATTGAAATAAGAAATTCACAGCTAAATAATTTTATTATTACTATTATTCAGCTTGTGGTTCATCAGGCGGTGATCTGGAAAGTAGCTATCTGCAAGTATAACTGGGGACCAGCTCTGAAATACTGCCTCTGCCTGCAAGCTAGCATGTTTGGTAGGTGGATCAGGCTAATTTTTATCATCATCAATACTTTGAACTTAAAAGCCTGTAGTTTTGGCAATGAAGTTAGGGAGTTGGGGATTGTTTGGGTTTTTTTTTTTTTTTGCCTGTTTTGAGGGGGGGGGGAAAAAAAAAGGACACTTGTGTCTGATCCCAGACACATCCTTTTTTTCTGCTGCCAAGCAGTGTTGTGATACAGATGGCCTGTGGGCTTTTCCCACTCTCCCCCTCAAAAAAACTATTAGGATTGAATTTCAGTAAGAAAACACTGAAGTTCTGGCCTGGAGAAAAGATATCCTAAATCGTAGCTGCAAAGAGAAGTTACTCAATTTTCCAGTAGTCATTGTGACAAGGGCGAGTAGTTATAGGCTGAAATTACGACAACAGATATTTGGGTTATGCATTAGATGCAGGGACACTTTCAAGGTATAAAGATAATGCAAGCAGATTGTAAGATATGCTGGAGAACTCTGATATGCTAATATTCTTTTGATTTACAGCTCCCCCAAAATGTTCCAGTGGCAGTATGAATACCTGCATAATGAATTCCAGTCCACTGATAACAAACTTGTTTTTCTGATACTTTGAGACATCTTAGGAATAATTTGTGGACCCCTGGAGCTCTGCAGGCTGAAGATCATGGTGCAAATTCTTTTTTTGGAGGATTGCTTAATTTATTTTCAAAGACATCTGATGAGAGAACATAAAGCTAAAGTCTTTTAAGCCTCAGGAAATGGGGATGAACTAGATGGGTTTATATTTTATAATATATTTTATAATATTATAATATGTTTATTATAATATTTTTTCCCCACATGTTTTTCTACTGTTCCCTAGTTTAGAGTAGGACACTAGGATAGAAGGATGGCATTAGCTTCTGGCCTGTGCAGTATGCCTGCAGAATAACAGTGTAATGTGCCTTTGGAAGATACAGAGACCAAACATGAATCAGACAGATAACACCTGGCACAGAACTGCTTGCTTTATTTTATTCAGTATCTAAAAGTTGCACTGACTAGGTCAGAAAGAAAGCTCCAGCACATCACAGTGAACATCCAGAGAGGATATATTCCAGCTGCAGCAAATGCAATCTATAGTTAGGGAGAAAAAGATGCTGTGTGGTTAGGGATCACTTGTTCCTCATTTATTTCAAGTCTAAGGCCAAACTAACAGAATATTTATTCCCTGTTCATTGTGCTTTACATGTATAGCCCTTCTTTTAAATGGAATTGTCTTCAGTGACTTTTTGGTATGCATACTTTATTAAAGAAAGTGTTGAACATTTTAAATTAGTAGAATGGAATACTTACATGTATTACAGTTAGTAAAGTTTATACTGTTATCATATGCTTACTAAAAAGTGCTGCCTGAACGTATCTATCATGTCCTAGTTGCAAATGCAAATAAATGTGGACTTTTTGCATGTTGTGCTGCTCTTAACAATCTGCTTGCTTTCCCTCATTCGTGAGCTGTTTTCTTGCTTTTCCTAGGTGTCCCTGGTCTCGTTGGACTAGGGTGATGGTACTGAGTTGAAGAACTACTACAATATTTTTAGGAGAATGGTGTCCTATTTCTTAAGGTCCTCCTTTGTTCATTATGTTGATTTTCTGTGCGCTGTCTCCTTTGCAAGAGAACTGCCTTAATTAAATCTCTTTATATCTCTCTTGCCTCATCCCAAAGACTTTGGTTTTGGTAAATAGTCTGGTCACATTTGATGCTCTTTTCCAAGGGAAAATGCTTTTCTTATCCCCATACCAAAAATATTTAAATACAAGTGTGCTGTAGTAGTGATAGTCACATTGGCAAAATACTGTGTACTTTATCCAGTCACCCTGGGTGGGGAAACACCTTTCCGATATCATTTTGGGGAGGGGGCTAGAGGGGGAGTGACTGGAGAACTTCTTACTTTGCTTCTGCTTAGGATCTCTGCATCCTTGCAAGCCAGGTAGGCAGGAGGTATCTATTATGCAGCAGGGATGAGCTGCTAATTACATATTTGCAATTCCTTCTTTATGATGAGGAATATTATCTTGGTGTTGGCTATTAAGAGAGAAGACTTTATTCATATAAGGCTTTGAGCAAACAGTATAGATATGCTGTTCGTTGCTATTTCTTCTCCTCTGTTGTCATGAGGTTTTGGGGAGAACAGTGTTGTCTTTAAAGGCAATGCTGAGAAGGCTCTCATGCCTTGTAATGTTCATGGTAAAAGGTCTGTAAATCAAAGTGCACTGCAAAATAGATGTTTGATTTCATTCCCTTCAAGGGCTTAAAAGACCTTTGGACTTGAACTAAAACTGTCAGAGCACCTTCTCTGGGTTTTAAAGTATAAAATACTAAAAGAGGTTAAAAGTTCAGAGCATTTTTCACATTTAAAACCTGATACTATTTAAACTATGTTTTCTTATTTTGCATCAGTGGTGTCAATTAACACACTCAGCACAGGTATATGTAATCCATGGGGCCCCCCTTCCCTCCTGCAGAGGAGAGCAAGGAGCAAATTCTGTTATTTCGGATAAATACTACAGTTCTCCAGTATAAACAGTGCTGCAGACTGTTAAAGGACTGGTACAGATGAGTAAAAAGTGGAATATTAGAGGTGTGAGGCATGATGGTATTGTCAATGGCTGTAGGGTATAAAACATCCAGGAATAATCTTCGAAAGGCCTAATATACGGGACCTCTGTGCTGTCCCCATTCTGTGCTTGCCAGAAGTTAAAGAAGTTCAGGGTCTTACTTGTCCAGGATGGTGCTATCTTGGTGCTTCAAGTAAACTCTTAAAAATAAAAATCTTGCAATTGAACCATTCTTGTTTATCACACTAGCTGAGGTTCCGAGTGTTGTCTTGTTACACAGGCTTCTGTACGGGTTCCTCGAACTTTCCAAAATATGCAAAATGCAACTTGCTGTTGAAGATAAGCTGGCTGGCTTTGAGGTTGTGGTCTCCTCAGTGCATCTGGTGCTTTTGACACAGTAGTTGCGCAGTGATATTGTTGATTGGGGACATTTGGATCAGTTGAGGCTAAAAGGGACAAACAGCAGCAGTGTTGCTAAAAAGTATGTCTCTTGTTACTGTTTTCTTATTTATTTGCTGGAGAAACTTTCCTTCCTTGCGTTCCTAGAAGTTACTCTTCTCTCGTTATGCTACTGTTGTATGGCCCTGTGTCTCCAGCTATTGTTTAAAAAAAAATAAACTATCTTCTTCCCCTGCCCCTTGTTACATTCAGCATGTTTGAGGACATGCACAAGACCTGGCTGTTAAAGCTTTGCAAGGGCACGTGGCTGGACAGATGTGTGTGTGTTTCCTGTAGGATTCACTATCACCTTAAGGGAAGTGGCAGGAAAGCTGCTAAGTGGGCAGGTCTGCACGCAGTGAATGAGATTCCTGTGGGAGGACTTTCAGAAAAGATCTTTAGTGTATGAATGTGTTCAAACAAACTTTTCTTGAGATATTTCAATGAATTGGGACTACTGATTTGCAGAAATAGTCAGATACAGAATGTAACGTATGCACTCTAAGGCTGTCTGCTACTCCGGAAAAACTTTTGCATAGGGAAGCTTCTGGCATATTTTGATCTTGGAATAATTAGATCACCATGTTGTTTTTGAATGCAAAACAATTCTGATTCTGCAAAATAAATTAATTTGCTTTAAGCTTTGCAAACAAGATTTTAATCTCAATAACAGCTATTTTTTATAAGAGCTTTCAATATATGTGGGAAGATTCCATTCTGGTGTATGATTAGCACTTTAATTCCCCATTCTAGTGTATGATTAGCACTTTCATTCCCCATTCATTATTTTGATGACTACCCATAGCTCTACAAAATATGGTGCAGGTGATGCTTGGTATTTTTAGATGTTTTTCGGCTACTAGGTGGCGTGAAAAATGTTGCTCAGGTTGTGTTTCTATTTAATACCCTGGTCCTTTATATTCAGGTGACATTTTTGTGTACTTAGTTAAGTGATATGCTAGAAAAAGCCAAGTAACGCTGGCAGATGTATATTACAGTTATTTTGACACATAATAGCTCGGGCTAGCAAGCACTATTAGTTGTACGTGTCGTTTGGGAACATCTACATTTGTCCTTTCAAAACTGTTTCAGTAGTGGAGACAGATTGAAGGTGCAGCTCGGGAATAGTGTTAATGGAAGCTGAAAGCGGAACGAAAGTAAGTTTGTTTTGTAGGTACTTCATGCGAATGAACTTGCCATTATCTGCAAATGCGTAATTTAACTTGAGGACTTAGCTCAGCAGTTGTTATGACAACTATTGAACTAGCAGTGCTGCAGGCTCGTCTCTTCTAGTCAGGTCTAATAACATATGCGAGGTTGAAGCTATATTCATAATTACATTATTTTAAAGGTGTTATGAATGTGTATGCTCAAATATGATTATCTTAATAAAATATTTATAATGATAGTCATACAAAGGCATGATCTGTTTCTCGCAGAACCAGAGAATGAAATTTCGTGTGTAGCCTTTTGATATCCTCAAGGAAATCAGTAACACCCCTGACTTCTCCAAGGTTATACTCTGACTGTAATTCATTATGTCTGTGTATGTGTTTGATAAATTTTAAAATGTTAGGAAGAGATCATATTCTGGTAAATACGTAGGAGGTTAATTTCTGCTTATAAACTAACATAGGCCTGCTAAAATGACACTCTGCTCTGAAGAGTAGCTAGGTAAAAAGATCTGTTATGTATGTTTAGGCATATCTGTTTAAGTAACTTTAGAAGAGCTGCACAAAAAGAAAACTGATGAGGAAGTAAATTCTCTTCTGCCCTATGCGTCCATTAAGCTGTTTGCTATTTTTTTGTGAATGCCTTTGCAAACCAGCTGACATGTGATCTTTAAGAATATTACAGAAACCGCATTTGAGTTTGTAAGGATTGCCAGTTAGAAAAACAATTTTACTTTTTAAATAAGCATTCTATTTAGAGAAAAAAATATAGAAATACAGTGAAAATACAGAAATGAAGTGAAATGAAACTGTGGCAGGGATAGGTAGGTGTTGTGGGTATAATAGGCAGTAAAAGCTGACTTTTACGCTAGGTTCCCAGTAGAAGTTCTGTGACTTTATGGCTTCTTAATGCAAGAGAGGAGAAAGGGAGTTAGTGGCTCTAATTAAAAGGAGTCTGTGTAGACACTGGAGCTGATGAGACCTGGGGAGGTTTGCAAAGAACTTGGAGGCAGTAGGGGAACATCAGTGAACACGTCTCCTTCAGAAGTTTGCACTGGAATTTGTAGAATGAATAAAGATGAGGAGCACTGATTCTAGTTACTCCCGTTAAGTAGCTGTGTGTTGGAATGGCATTGCCTAGCAGGCAGTTTTGTGCCTGTTAAGTGGTGGGGCAGATCTTGCTTTTGGGTGGGCTTTTGCAGCGCTATAGGCCTGGGAAGGCAGAGGAAGGGGAGGAAATAGGCACAGTGTGCTGGTGCCCTGGCTAATATCTGCACTTTCTTAGAACGTTTGAAACATCATGATCCCTTTCCAGTGAGTAATTTTTCATCTCAATAGCTCACATGCCTTGGTAATTTTTAGCTTGTGTCAAGCCTTGCTTTCTGGTCAGCACAGATCTTGGCTTCTGTACCTTGTTCTAATATTGGGTATATATAGGAAGCTCTGCTTGAGACTCTAAGCTGTAGAAACACTCTGTTACAGAAATGACCTCTGGCCAAGCCTGTGTTAGCAGAAAGTCATTAACAAAAAGATTAAAACAACTGTACAGCTATATTCAACTGTAACATGGTGGGAACACTTTGTGAATGGGCCTTTTCACCTGAGCTCTGCTTACTTCCTTATCTTAGTCTGTGCCTCTTTTAATTTAAAATTCTTGTATGTTCCTGTCATTTTCCCATTAAGCCTTTTAAATTTATTTAGACAAATGCATAGGGAAATTTGGTAATAAAATAAGCATTTGACCAATTTCACTGGTTTATCTGACTTGGTGATAGATCTGGTTTCTTTCACTTGCGGAGTAAATGGCAGGTGTTTAGGCTTCATGTCTAAATATCATTCAAAGGAAAGAAAGTATAGTTTTATAACAAGCTTCTAAGAAGAGAAATAAAAGTTAAATTATTTTTATATAATTGCAAAAACTGAGTGGAGAAATAACAGTAAAAATATTTTACCTAACTTGTAAAAACAGATAAATTAAGTGATCTTTAAAAAAGATCAAAACTTAATAAGTCAAAATTCTATTAAGTTGATCTTTTGATATATATTAATGTCTGATGCATATGCCTCATATAGTGAGTATATTCTCAATTTCTGATTTGTATTTCCAGAGGTAATTCAGACATGAATTCATTTAAAGAAGAAGAAAAAAAAAAAAAGAATTAACTTTGTACTGACAAGTACCTTAGTACTCCTATTTCAAGGAACTGGGAGTGTCTTTTGGACCTAATCTTTGTCCTTGGTGTTTTACACAGAGAAGCAGTTAGAGAGACCAGTTTGGCTGAACTGCAGGTGTCGTATGGAGAGATGTGGGAACTTTGATTTCAGGATATGTCTGAATGTCCCGCACACATGCGCACGTGTGTCATCAAAGCAAAGCAGGTCACGCGTGTACTCCGAGGAATTGCTTTCTTTATTCATTACTGAGTAGCTGGCAAAGGTCGTTTCAGTTCTGTGTAGCAATCAAAAGAGAAACTGAATGTTAGGTAACAGGAAGAGGCTACAAAAACACAGCATTTCCTGCTCTGAATCTGTCATACTTCCAGATCTTGAATATTTGATGCGGCTCTGGTTACCCTGTATCTAGAAGATACAATAAAATTTAGCAGGGATAATAGAAGTGTTCAGAAAGCTTCTGTAATTGGTTGGAGTAAATAGTCCAAGTTAGGTTGGAAGAGAGATGACTCATTATGCATATCACCTATAAAACCATAAGTTGCATGAAAAAGTGGATCGGTCACTTTGGAAACATAAGAAAACATCTAAATGAACTGAAACTGGCAGTTTTATGACCAAAAATTGGCATTTACACAAAACATAAGTAAACTCAAACTGCCTCATTTAATTTGGGAGCCAAAAGTATATAAATGTGTTTAAATTCTTTGAACACATTTACGTACAAGCTTGAGGTGGTAATAAACTTTAATACAGGCTCTGACTTAAAAGTCTGCAGAACTGAGAGAGTTTGCTGTGATCCCTACTGCTATCCATATTAATTTGTTATAGATTGAGGTTGCACTTGACTTACTTTGGTCTGACCTATTTTGATTTCTATGATATTGATGGTAGTAGAATGGTAGGGTGCAGAAGTGGTCTGTGGGTGGACTGAAGGTATAACATGATTGTGAGAGAAGAGGTTGATTTTGGAGAATGCATGCTGAAGGTTTTTGGTGTTACTTATTTACAAAATTCATCTAACAGCAAGTTTTTTTTGCTTTAGCAAAAAGAGAGCATTGAATGTTAATGAGTCACGTTTCAGTCTTTTTGTGCAACTTGCTACATTCCAAGGGAGTGCTTGTGTACGAGTGAGTACATTAATGGTGTAAGACCAGCTGCAGACTGCATGGCATAGAGCTTTTTCCTTTTGGGGATGACCAAACTATTGACTTTGGGAAGGGCTCGTGACACAACTTGGAATTTCCTACCTGAAGTGTCTTCTGTGCCCTACCTGCACAGGAGCAGGTGGGTGGAGATTAATTTAAGCACCACTTAAATTTACTGTAGCTTCTGTGCAGAGGTTTCTAAATCTCCCAGCGAGAGACCTACAAGGGACATGGTTTCAGAATTAGAGTTACACAAGTATCAAAATAAATGGTGAAAGGTTTGAAATGATGAGCGCATAGTCATTCTCCTAACAAGTATGAAGCTTTGGGGTTTGTCAGTGCATAATTTGTTCTAACTGTGAAACCGTGGTTTGCAAGGCTTAGGAAGACATTGGTCTCAAATGTTTCTCTAAATTGCACTGGACTGTTCAGCTACATGTCAGACTTCAATGAACTGCCCAAATCACTGATCTTATCAATGATACCAAAAGAAGAGCTTATGAGACCTGAATCTTCTGCAAGATATAAATTGATGGTTGGAATGAGATTTTTTGGTTTTTGGGTTTTTTTTTGATTTCGTCTTTTTGATCTGATATTAAAAGATGTTTTATTACCTTCCCTTTCCTATTTTTGAACAGTGTTTAAAAAAAAAAGAGAACTTGGTTCAACATAGGTCCTGTATTTTTATGGTGCTTTTGTTATGTACCCAGACCTATTTCTTACACAAATGAATACCACAGATTGAGGTTTTTACTTAGACACCCTTAAATCCATTACTGTGTGTGTTTTGTTGTTGTTGGGGTGTTTGGGCTTTTTTTTTGTCTGCATAGATCCATTTTTCAGCTCATTGTGAATAATTCTTGAGATTCATTAAATCAACTTCTTAGTGCAAGCGTTTTGCTTTTGTCAATAGTTTGGAATGGCTTAATTGCTATAGAACTTGTTCTGAAAAGTGTATTTATTCAGAGAGTAATGAATCCTGTTTAAACATTCAACTGTGTATTGACTTTGTCCCTGTTTCTTCTCCCATTTACTTCTCAAACATTTGATATTAGACTCAGAAGGTCACACCTAAAGTGGTTTTGTCCCTGTGCAGAGTTCAGCATGTTGGGGAAGCTGTTTGGTCTGCAGCGGTTACTGCTGCACCTCAGCACATCCCTAGATCTCCAGGGGGGAAAAACCTTTTTAATAATAGTTGTTTGGAAGCTAACACTTTTCTTGTTAGCAGTGTGTGACATTTTCTAGCTTGTCATACCAGGTGAGATGTTCAGGCAATTGCTGGGTCAGTATTTGTTGTGGCCAAATCCCCTCTATTTGTTCTTTGCCTTGGTCAGGAGACTTCTTGGTGCTGCACCTGCAGAAATCTGACCGTGGCTCACGTCTTTGGGGCAGAAATACCTCCCCTTATAAGCTCCTTTGCACAACAGTAACATCTAATTCGAGGAAGAAAAATGGTATGGGAATGAGAGAGCATATTAAAAGGACTGATGCAGAGGGTAAAAAGGTGGCAGTTCTTAGGATCTTATATGTGTTTATTTTGAGCCTCTATCTTAAAGACTTTAAAAACACAAACCAGCATGCTTAACAGAAAGAATGAACAGAAAGAACAATTGCAACTGAAACCGAAGTTGTTCAGAGTGGAACCTCATCCAAACAAGGAGAAGAAACTCTGACTAGTCAAAAAGACATAATAAGGCATGCTTGAAGGCATCCTGAAGAACATAAAAACAATAGTAAAACCTTTCAGGAGCAGAAAACCTGTTGGAGGACCTGAATCTGGTTAAGTAAGATGATTGAAGGCCATACCAGAAAAACTAAAATATTTTTTGTGTATGTGTTTTTGTTTGTTTTTCTGTGAAGGAGTTTATGGAATTCCCTAACATGGGGGCTCTCATAGCAAGAGTAGTTGGAGGAAATGCCTCAAACTGATGCTTAGAGATTTTAGAACAATCAGTAAAATAAATCAGTACAAAATTGCTAGCACAGATGGCATTTGTCAGAGAACACTAAAGGAACTCAAATATAAAAATTGTGGACCTGACAGTGGTGTATTCACTTAGGTCAGTTTTGGTAGCAGAGAAATAGGATATGTTGCAAATGATACCTGATTTCAGAAACTGGGGTCCAGCCATACAGCCTTAAAATGAGCTGTTTTGTTAGTTGGGGCTTGGGACCGTTGTGGATAGAAGAGCAGCATCATGGTTCAGTTCTGACTGAACAGTGTTAAAAATCACTATGGAAAGAAGAAACTAGTGATACATTGCTTTCTGTTGCAGAAAGCTGTGGTGTGCCTACATCTTGAACGTTGCATAAAAGCCTAGTCTCGCCAAAGGGGTTGAGTTCAAAGGTATGAGGAAGGGTGGCAAGGATGAGCAAAGCTACGGAATAACATTCTTACAAGAAGTAAGAGCAGATGAACTTTTCAGCTTGGAGACAAGAAGTGACTGGCAGGGGATATAATGTCATGAATGACATGGAGAGTATGAATAGGGCAGGAATATTCTCTTTAGTTCTGCTGTTTGAGGGGACGCTATATGGATTTCTAGTCCTGTCCAGTCTTACCCACATCTTCTCTTTACCTTCCTCACAAAAAATTGTTGTAGCTTTTTTAGAGTTCCTAGTAAGCACTCTTATAAATAATATGGGGGATTTTATTGAAGAAATCGACAGTTTTGCAGTGGACTAAAGTATCTCAACGCAGTGTTCCCTGGAGGAACAGCTTTCAAAGGCCCTAGTAATCATAGGACATCTTTGTATTTCATATAAAAATAAAATACTAGAATAATGCAATAATTCCAGAGGAAGACAGAGAGAAAGGTGGTACATTTTGGAGTGCTTAAACATGTGCTGGTTGTATGAAAGGAAGGAGAAAATTACTATCATGAGTAAGTCTCTTGATAAGGGAATCTGGCTATATTGAAGCAAATGAGGAATGCAGCGGGAGCATAAAGATAGGGCATGTGGCAAAGCCTGCTTGCTGCCAAGGGTCTCATGATATTATTTTAGCAGCAAGTTTAAAAGTTCCTATGAAATGTGGGGATCCCCTTCATCAACTGCAGGTAGTTTCCCATTTTCCCTTATGCTAAATCAGCTATTTGAATTGCTATATTCTAAACTAAATCTGGACAGCGATCTTTAAAAAGCATAATGCCCTTTTCAGGGAGAAGGTTTTTTTTAATTAGATCATTCCAGTTTTGTTTGTGATCAGAGATCAAATTACTTTTGGCACTTGCACTATATTTGTTCTCTTTCTCCTTCTGTTCTTCTCTCTAGGCATGCTTTATGTCACGTTGCTGCTATTTGTATTGATGATTTGTGTTTTGCTTTTTGTTTTTTTCTTCATAGTGACTACAGTTTCTGTTTCACCTCTGATGGAAGAGGACTATGACCCAGAAGTGAACTCTCCATTGTAGAACAAGAAGCTCTTGAATAATTTGTCTCCCTTTTAAAGCAGCACCCAATCTACAAAAAGTAGAGTAGGAGAGATCATTTTTGGACCTGGCATTTTTCTGTTCATGTGACCTATGTTTCAGCATGTAAATGGTGAACAACAGAGAGCAACATTTGTGCCTGCTTTTGAGCTTTGCATCAACTAGTGCTTAGTTCTGTGGAGCATTTACTAAATTACGTGAAGTCCAGAGTATATCCAAACATTCATTTTTAAGATATTATACTTTTTTTAGCAACTGTATGTGATAAAAATGAAGTTTATATTTTAAGAGCATTTGGGTAGATGCTTGTTTAGATTTCAGCGTTTCAGGCAAACATTTTTATATAACATAGTTTTTTTTTCCAGAGTGTTCAGCTCCATCTGCTACAGACCATGAATTATCCAGCAGACTTGGGTGCATCTGTTCAGTATTAACCATGGGGTTGCTCTGAATGTTGTCATGCAGCCTTGACAAACGTTTTTGTAATGTAAAGGCTGACTTCTGTAGTACCACGACCAGAGGAAATTTAATGAGGTGAATGTGGTCGTGGTTCTTTTTTTTTAAATATAAATTGCCTTCTGAGGTATTTTTTGTAGTGTGAGTGCAAAGAGAGATTAAAATGAGCAGCTGAGGGGGTGAAGGGCACAGTTGGCACGAAGTGCGGCCTCTCGTGCTCTGCTTTGAGACGCACTGTTGCCTCAAGGCTGGCCTTACAGCACTCTGGAGAAAGAAGGAACCAGGAGGTCTGAGTGAAGCACAGAAAAGAGTGAGGACATTGGACTGCGGAGGCAAAACTCTGCGTAAGTGATCATATGTACTTTTGTCCTTGACCTTACAGTTTTGACTTGTTCATGGCCCAAAACAGAGTAACACTAAAATAAGAATTTTTAGGGTTTTGAGCAGTGGAATCTGCTATGACATGTTGGAAAGAACAATTCAGTTTGATTCCTCCACAAGGAATCCATCTGCTGGTCTTCAGATGAACTTTCATTAAAATACAGATTCTTTGGCCACCTTCTGTTGTGTTCCTAACCACTTGGTTCCTTACCTAGAAAGTGTTTTAAGCTCTGGTATGTGGAATTTGGAGAATCTGGATAGAATTTTGAATTGTGGGTTCAGGTCTCTGAACTGCCCTCAATGTTTCTATCATTTTTATCTGTTTATCTGTATTTTACCACCTCTGGAGTAAAATAAGCAGTGATCATCCTTTTGTAGACAACAAGCAATGAAGGAATGGATCCTTAATCTGGCATATCTTTTTTTTGTACATCTATATCTTGAATGGTTTGTGTATACTTCTTATCTCTGAAGTTCATCTTAAAATGAATTTCCATTAGAATGGAATTATTAGGAAATAGTAATTGGGAATGTTTAAGTTCTTATCTAGCTTGATCAGAAAGATAAAGTCAGCAATAAAAGCTGTGTTTAACTGTAACTGGAAAAACTTTAGCACTTTTCCCTTATTTTAATATAGGCTTTGGAAAGTAGAATTATGTGGTTATTCTAGTTTGGGGGAAGATGACAGGGGATGTTTTTTTCACTGACAGATCTTGGCCATGAGGTTTGATGCCTCATTTTATTGAAAGGAGACACTGGACCTAAATGGCGCAGCATGACTTTGTTCCTGCCTGGCTTAACTTCTCAACGCCCCAGTCAGCCAAGGTAAACTTTAATGCAGATCAATTGCTAGTTACAACTCTGAAAATAAGAAAGATTCAAAAAGTGCTCCACTGTTTTGCTGAACTCGAACTGCTTGATTTTTAGTTTTTTGTCTTTCTAAATATCCGAGGTGGGGGGAAGCTTTGGAGAAATTTAAGGTAAAAATCATGTTTTTTTGTTTCAATGCTTCTATTTCAGAGGAGGAAGAGTCCTTTGCATTCAGATGTGGAAGTAATTCAATGTCTTTTCCTTGAGTTTTGAGTGAAATCTCGTGTGGAAAAGAATTAAGGAAAAGGCTATAAAACTGTGGGAGGAGGTGTCAAAACTCAGCCTGCCATTTATTTACAAATTAGCATATAACTCTTTGATTTTGATTTATAGAAATAATCTGGCTCTTGCTGGATAGCTTTTAGTAATAAACCTAGGATGTTTGATCCACTTAAAACTAACCTCTGCAATTTTTATAAATGAAAACAAGGCAAAGAGTAACTAATAGATTAGTATTTTCCACAGCATCATACTACTTTTAGCCCAAGAGTTGTCTTCACTTAAGCATCTCTGAATTTTTGTCAGACTGTCCACATCCTCTGTTGCTTCCAGTTTTTCTGCCTGGGGTGGGGGGATGGAGGGCATCAGCAAATTAATGTGTGTATGATTCGCAAGATCTCTTAAACTCTGCAAGAACTATGTGTTTATGAAAACATGCTGCACTTACCAGAAGAGTTAAGTTCTTCTTGATTTCGTGTATTATGGAGTTGTATGCCATTTTGATGGTGTTAACCTGAATGTTTTGATGTTGTCAGCTAAGCAATACAGATGCTGTATTCTAGTAGTAGAATATGGGAGGGTGTGTGTGTGGTTGGGTGGGGTTTTTTTTGTTTGTTTTGTTTTGTTTTTCCCTAAACTGTCCTGCTGGGTCTGACAGGCTTCTGGGATGCCCTAACGTTTCATTCCATCACCCGTTTTTTTCTGCAGTCTCCTGCAGCCAGCTTTGAGAAACATGGAGAGCATCTTTCACGGGGAGAGGGCCGCTTTGGGGTGAGCCGTAGGAGACATAATTCTTCGGATGGATTTTTCAATAATGGGCCCCTCAGAACTACGGGAGGTGAGTAAAAGGGATCGGGACACAGTCTGAAAGTCAACTTCCTGGCATATTCTACAGAATGCAGAATTCTGTGGAATGTAAGCAATATTTTTCAAACTGCCCTATAAGAAACTTGCACTGTTCTTTTCTCCTGTACCATGTGTTTAGACTTCAAGGGGGTTCTGTGGTAGCTGTCTGTGTGTTGTTGAGCTTGATTTTTTTTTCTTTTTTAAATAATCACATTATAGCACTGACTTAGCAAGAAAAACATCCTGATATTTCTAGATTTCTGCACACTATGTTGACTTATTTGTGTACTTATCTCCTCTTGTTTAGACTGCTGGCATCAGCCATCCCTTCTTCGCCACGATTCTGTAGATTCTGGTGTTTCTAAAGGAGCTCATGTTGGCCTTTCTGGCAGTCAGCCTGGCTGGCATGGCTCCTCACGGGGCCATGATGGCGTCAACCAGCGTGGTGGAGGAGGACCCGGAGTTCATCGCCACTGGAATGGCAACTTCCATTCTCGGAAAAGTTCAGCCTTTCAAGAAAAGCTGCCTGTTGAAGCCAGGGAAGATAAAAAGGAAGATAAAGAGAAGCTACAGTTTGAGGAAGAAGACTTTGTAAGTGTGTAGCTGCTTACTAGAATTGGCAGTTGTGAGAAGTGGCTTTTCAATTTTTGTATTTATTAGTTTTGTCAGACTTGCATTCCATTCTGTACTTGAGATCACTACAGATTTAACACAATTATTTCAGTGCTTACAGGTTAAATAGTATCCAGCGTCCAAGGACTTGATGACCTGTTGAATTATGGGCATGTTATTATATTTTGCCAAGAGGTTACTGTGGACTGAAGACAGCATTGTAACACACAAGCCACATCTTGGTGAAACTCAAGAGTTGACATTTTGTTCTGCCGCAAGACTAGGAGCTCTATTGCTTTGTGACTTTGCTTGCAGAGCCATTTTTGCTCCTTAGTATATTGATTCAGCCTATCCTCAGCCTGCCTGCTGTTCCTGTCCCCTGTATTCTGGTACATGTTACTTTGTGTGACATCCTTCCCAAGGTTATTCATGACATGTGCTCAGACCTTTGTAACCATCTGTCTTGGATTTTCTAGATTAGTAATTTCCTACGGGACACTCATCTGGTAACTTATCACTGTTAATTTAAGGATCAGTGTTTCTTCTCAGCCACATCTTTCATCAGCATCTCCAGCTCATTAGCTTCCTTTTTATTCTAACTTTCTGATTCATTTGGATTATTAGCAGTACATAGTTCTTATATCTAGACTCCATTTTTACTAAAATATCTTTTGTTTTCTAAACTCTACTGAGTGGACTTGTTGCTTAATTCTTACCATGTGTTCCTTAACACTAATGTGTGCCTTCTATTTTTTTTCCTTCCAATTTAATTATTTGTTTCTCTTGTCTTCTCATAAGGATTTTATTAATATTATTTTAGACCAAACATTTTGTTTTCTGTAGGTAGTCTCTGCTCTCTCTAGACTCTTCTTGACCAGTGTAGTGAGCCCATCATATCCAAAATTCCAGGAGCAGGGTCCCTCCACTTAATGTGATTGCCCTGACTTTGTCTCGTGGTGCTAAAGCCATTGCTTTAAGCAGTGAGAGAGCCCACTGATGGTAGGCACAGCTGCTTGTTTTGTAGCTTTGAGCTTTTTGCCTACTCTTTCTTTTATTCAACATTGACATGGGAAAGCTGGCTACAGCTAAAGCTTTTGCAGCAGTTTGCTACTTCTGGGAGGTGAGGAGTTGAAGTGAAATATGTGAATGCCATGTGGCTGCTTCAGGCTTGAATCTAGAAACTCCACTTAAATTGCCACATGAGCCAGTCCGAATTAAGCTGCAAGGTTTTTCAGTCTGGTGCCCAGGGAGTGATTGTATGATCTGTGTTGCCGTGGTGAGTGGTAGCCTGCTCAGAGGGTAGTCTTGGTGGCTTCTGTTAATCCGGTTTCTTAAAAATATTGTGATTAAGAATTTTATAAGCATGTTCTTTAGATTATCAAAAACTTGCTGAAATGTATAACATTATGGTAATTAGTTAGACACTGTGAGATTCTATCTGGGGCTCTTTTGTGTACCTCTTCATTCTCTTCAGTGCCTTGATGAGCATCTTTTCCGAAATTCATGTCTGTTCCTTCTGTAATGGCTTCCACATTCTCTCTCTCGTAATGCCAAACACTTAGTGTGTAGTAGCAGGCTTTGCTAAATAACTCATATGGTTTTACCATTGTGGTGAAACTAATGTAGGCTGTAGCTAATTATGTAGCCGGTAGGGCTGTGCAGCCAAGAAAATGGTTATGCTTTTCCTGAAAGATCTGTAAAACTGGCTGCGAGCCTGAAGATCCCCTGCATTGTGAGCACCACTACAGTTTTCTTTTTCAATTTGTAAAGTCTGAGGCAGTAGTTTACAATATTGTTTATTTTTTCCCACCTTGTATAGAATAGGGATGTCTAATATTTCAGAAACTCATTATTACTAGCTTATGCTGTAGTCTTAGTAACTGATATATGAAGAATTTATTAAAAAGAGGAAAAAATAGTATTTTGAAGCTGTTTGGACTGAGGAAAGCGTAATAGCTAATGAGGAACGTTTGTCATCAAGTACTTGGATTTTCTGTACTCTTGCTTTGAACTTGGATATGACATTTGTTCCACTGGTACTACTGATACTAAATCAAAGGTAAGTCTGCAGAGAACACAGTTTACATGCAGTATTTTTCAGAAGAGTGAAGCTTAATATAAATAATTTGCATGTAGCTTTTTTATCCGTAAACATAGAACTTTGTTCTTCCTGTAGACCAGGAAGCCTAGAATGGTTGCTTTGTTGGCTGAACTCTAAATGTGAGCCTTGTATAAAAATATCTCTGAAGTGAGAATAGAAATATCATATACTGATGATATCGGTTCCACTTTATGCTGTTGAATAAATAATTCATTAGTATTAGTTGGCATTCATTCTATATTAGTTGGCACAAGCTATTTATACAGTAGAAGAATAAGACCATATTCTGAATGCCTCGATAAGTGTGTTGGAAATGGAGCAGAAGCCAAGGAGAGGGAAAAAAAATGATTTTAGGTATTTTGCAACAGAGCACTAGCTTCTAATTCAGGTGCTATTTGGAGAAATCTGTCTGTTGGTAGACTTTGTAGTTGTTGAAATCCGTTTTGTGTTTTGGGTTCCTAGAAGTGTGATACTGTGTCAATACAGGCTCTCTTTTGTTACAATGATGTACTCATTTGGATTATCTTTTTACAGCCATCTTTG